CATTCACAAACATTTATGAAATAGGAACTGCTGCGAATATAAGTCGAAAGATGTGCATTTTGGGTGCCCACTTCAATCTCTGTGTATGTGTGTCCGCTCGCGCATGCGCACGATTGTCGTGAGCATGCGCACGACTGTTTGTGCATGCATATTTTGTGGCTGCATTACTTTCGTGACATAGAAGTCGCAGGTCTTACTTTTCCCGAGCAAAATCAAGACGCATCTAAAACATAAAAGCATGTTTTATAGGATCAGAGGAAAAATGATAAGACGACACATGAATAAAAATGTAAAAAAATATATATATATATATATATATATATATATATATATATAAAAAAATATGGACATTGAGACTGCTAAATGTTAATCTCAATATCCATTTATATTTACATGCGCTTTATCTTTATTACCTTTAATCCATAACTATAGCATACATTAAAACTAGATTTTATCACACACAGATATGCATATATATATATATATATATATATATATATATATATATATATATATATATATATATATATATATAACCTCTGTAAAGGTGTGTGCGGGTGTGCTACACTCGTACGAATTCTATACAATCTTGATAAATTACAAATATCGGCAAAAGAAAAAACAGATACTGGTAGCTCGAAGGGTAGACAAAAATACGTACACACATATACGCGTGCACACGTGTACGCGTGAATATGCATTTATAGGAATGTACTTGTGCGTATAGAAGGTTTAGACAAGGCCTAACAGCTAAAATCGCCGAAACGGAGTCGCGAATCCGTGTTTAACTTACGATCGATTTAATTGGCGTTACCTTTTTAATAGGGCCATGAATCCTCTTTTTGCCTATTGGCCAAGTTACGGATTAACACTTCAGAGCCTGTTGCATGTTTTTTCGGATAGGTGATGGTTAGCGTCGCGCAAACCCCGTTTTTGCTGCTCCGTGAAATGACATTTGAGTTTCCTTATTAACCGCAAGCGTTACAGATTCAATAAATTTCGACTGATATGTAAGTGGCGCTGTATTGCAATTATACATATATCGAGACATAAGCATTGCCAAACTTATTGACATATTTATTATAAACGAGGTTAAGTGATAGGGTCGATCTGTTTGATCATTTGATTTGAATTTCTGGGTGTAGGTCGGACCAAAACATACGAACGCGCACACTTGCACACACATGAATACATACATACATACACACACACACACACACACACATATATATATATATATATATATATATATATATAGTGATACTTATAACAATGTATGCATATATAGGTGCGCATGTGTATGCATGGGCGTGCATAAATATGGGGTTTGATTTGCATGTACGTGCAAAGATTCAAAACATGAATGGCGGCGTAACTACTTAAATCTGAATGTATATTCACCAACGTATATATATATAGACACACACACACACTCACACACATATATATATATATATATATATATATATATATATACGTACAAATAAACAATGTATATATATATATATATATATATATATATATATATATATATATATATATATATAAATACTAGTATACGGAATGCCTATCTACATTATATATATATACTTACATATCAGTGTACACTGCATATATATATATATATATATATATATATATATATATATATATGTATAATAACACACACACATAAACATATATATATGTACGCAAGTCGCCATTCATGATTTGAAGTCAATCACGTATAAGGAAGCAGTTAAACTCAATTATATGCATATATATATATATATATATATATATAATAACACACTCATATATATATATATATATATATATATATAAACATGTGCAAGTCGCCATTCATGTTTTGAAGTCATGCACGTATAAGGAAACAGTTACACCAAATTATATGCATATATATATATATGTGTGTATGTGTGTGTATTTATTAATAATTCATATATTGTAAATGATTATGTACTTATTTACATGATCATATATATATATACATATATATACATACATATATATTTATATATATATATATATATATATGCATATATATATACATACATATATATATATATACATATATACATACATACATATATATATATATATATATATATATATATATATATATATATATATATGCAAGTCGCCATTCATGCTTTGAAGTTATGCACATATAAGGAAACAGTTACACTGAATTATATGCATATATATATATATATATATATATATCGTATGCTTATGAACAGTTAATTTCATGTTCAATTGCCATATAAGCTTTAGTACACGATTGTTCTTTTGAAATGTAGCAATCATTCATTAAGCTTAAGTGTGCCTAACATGTCTTTCTTGAATGGGCAAGTGGCGCGCTTGTCCATTTCCATATATAGAAGTTGATTGAACGGATTGCACACGGAGAGGGTGATCAAGAGAGAAAGACATCGGGTGGAAGAGAGAGGAGTACAGAATGAGATAACTCACTAACGAGATCTTCATAGAGTAAGTTGGAAGATGGTTGAGTGGGAGGGGAGACTCCACCCATATACGCAGAGGCTTGCTTGTCACCAGCCCCGGTTAGGTTAAGTTCCGTTCTGGTTTCGTCTGCTTTGCGCACGCGCAGTGTTTGTGTTTTTTTTTTCCGCGACTGCTGCAACAGCGAGATGCAAAGTGGATGGAAATTTCGGGAAAGAGTGCACAAATAAAGTCGATACATTATCAATGATGCACGATTTAGTATTTTCTGCGTGAAAGGGGGAGGGAACGTTATATCATTGAATCTGGGGTGTTGTTTCTCGATTCCATGTATGGAGCTGAAGTTTTCTGAATGCTCCAGAATGAACGAGCTAGTTCGCCTGAGCTAATCTTTGTAAATAGGAAGTCGGGTAAAGTTATATGAAAATAATTATCAATCAAAATGCATACAAGTCCTTCACCATTCATTCGAATTTATTAATGTCCCGTTATGGTATTAACGATGGTTGCACCCCCCCTCAACTGAATGAACCTAGAACAAGCAAACAAACAAAACTGTGTAGACATTCAGAAACCCGTATATATAATATATAGATACAAGTTGATTAATTTCTTGCATAATATATATATATATATATATATATATATATATATATATATATATATATATATATATATATATATATATATATAATGAATTGATCTTTTTATGAAATAATTGCATACCTTTTTATTTTTTGGTGTATCTATTATTATTATTTTGTCCCTTCAAGACGTTTGAGACTATGGCTCTCCACAACTTCCTGACCTGTGTAGCTCTTGATAAGGACTTTTTGCTATCCTTTCTAATCCCTGCTCTACCAACAAGCACCTTATTCGTTGCAGTCCTCTGTTCCTCTTGCATTTAATAGGTCTTGTAAGTGTCGCATACTCCAAGCCAACTTTCCTCATTATGGATCCTAGAATCTCTGTCCAAATCTATATACCTCCATGCATTCATACGTAAATACCTATATATGACATGTGTATACGAAAGTTTCCAAGGTTTTTAATTGTGCATTCAGTCAAAATAGTGTGCTGGAAACTTTTGCACAAAATTAATATAGGTCTAAAGATATTTCAATAACTACGCATAATAGGATATATATATATATATATATATATATATATATATTGTTTTAAAAATTGGCCCAAATCTCCCGAAAATACAGAAAGGTTGAAACCAAGGTAGCGTAATTGGCTGATCAAATTTTTGTAAATTTAAAATCTCTGTAGGTTAAATTTTTATTTTGTTTATAGCTGTATGGAGCACTTTTTCAATGTTACTCTTTCCTGGTTTAATTTAGTTCTGATCAATAACTGTTATATATATATATATATATATATATATATTGTCAAGCACAAACAGACTGTTTCACTGAATCACAGCTCATCAGTGTGGCTAGACGTTTGGTTGCCACATCTACACACACACACACATATATATATGTCTGTGTTTGTGTGTATAATAGCTGATATCTCCTGACGATTGGACGGTGCGATTGCTAGAGGGTTTGTATTATTTCTGTATACATACACACACATATATATATATATATATATATATATATATATATATGAGTGTGTGTGTGTGTGGATGTGCGTAAATGTGCAGGTAGCTAAGGGTTATCGATATGAAAAGTGGAATCAGCCTTCTGATTTCAAATCCTCACCGAGTATACTAATGCCATATAGATAGCAATTAACCGATATGGCTGCCTGAACCAATTCCTTTTGCGGTCACCTGCTCAGGTACATTTATCTTTGTTCAATACCCACAGAGGCAACCTGTGGCTAATATTATGCTGAGAGCATAGACTTTAGATACCGATTCTGAGAGAGGGCGCACAATCTGGCGTGATCAACAGTCTGAAGAAGGCCATTACGCTTAAAAACCTCGGTCACGATGACTTGTGATTTCGTGCTAGCAAAACTATCAACAGCTTTACAGATCCGTCTAGCTAATTTCACGCACGGGACTTTGTATATTTTTAAGCACTTCTTAACGATGCTGCACACTGGGACTGCTAACAGGATCCAATAAGCGGCAAGAAGCCTCATTTTAGACAAAATAGATATAGGGGATCAATGTTGCCTGTGGGAAGTACTACCTAATTCTTTCGTCATGTCTGTCAGGGAAATGACAATATTAAATATAATGTTACGCTAAAGAGATGTTCACAAATTACTGGTGCACCTTGTGCATAATTCGCTACATGTATTTGTATATTTATTTCCTTCAAGCTTTTACCTGTAACCATTTCATTTAATAAAGCAAAGAGATGTCTTTGGAATGTACGCAACTATAATATCCGTTATATGGCTGAGTGCCAACAAGTATGATTTGTCGGATAAAGAAAGATCTGGAATCTGCCATAGCAAAAATGGGGGATCTGTTTGTAACATGTTTGTAAAATCAAAGTAATTCCCCACTTAATATCCATTGTTAATCCAATATTAATAATCTACAAGCAGGTTTGCAATATTTGGCTGGTTTACGGCCACATCACGCTGAAATTCCGGTTCCCGTACGATCCGCGAAGTTAAGCAACATCGAGCCTGATTAGTACCTAGATGAGTGACAGCTTTGAAATACCAAGTGCTGTGAGCTTGGATGTGCAGGCGGTGTAATGGATAATGTCTCGGAATTGTTAATCGGAGAGCCGAGTTCCAATTCCAGTCGCGTTTGTTATATTTACTTACGTGCAAATATCATTGGGAAAGGTATGAATCCACATCTTTTCCCCCCAGCTATGGGTTAATTAGTTAATCAGTAAATCTTTATCATCTCTCCAACATTCTTACAATCAAAAAATTTTCTGTTTTTTTTTTTAAATAAACTTCAAACGACTGATACGCTATAAAAAAATAAATCAATCAAGCAATCTTCTCCCTCTGCTATGGGTTAAATAGTACAACTTTTATCACTAAACTATTATTATCTTCAAAAAAATTCGAGAATAGACTATGAAAAGGTTGGGTGAACGGTTTATATACTTGGTTTTAAAACAAATCTGCCCCCCCCATTTAATATCTATTTGCTTGTGAATCAAATCTACAATCTACGAGCAAGCTCTCCGGTTTTGACTCTAAGTAGCGAGTTGGGCGACATTTGCAAACTCATCACTACTAAATTGTGAATTTAATGTCCTCCGATGTGGCAGTGAATGCTGGACGATCTCCTCAAAGATGAAGAAGAGACTTGAAGCAACAGAAGTGTGGTTCTACAGAAGGATGCTGAGAATACCATAGATTGAATATGAAGCAAGTACGAAGTTTTATAGAAAATAAAAACAAAAAGGAAACTTATACTTAACATCAGAAAAAGACAGTTGAAATTTTTAAGGCACATAATGAGGAAAGAGGGCTTGGAAAATTTGACACTCACAGGACATTGAGGGCAAGAGGGACAGCAGAAAACAACGCATAACCTACTTAGTGAGCTTGAGCAAATGGATGGTGGAACAAGGTTCAGAAGAAATAACGAAAAGACAAAATTTATTAAGAGTAATGAGCGTCAGGAAATTATGGAGGGCCATGATCGTCTACGCCCTGAAAGGACACGGCACATGAAGAAGAAGTAACAGAAGTTGATTTTCGGAAGAAGCGCCGAAAGTCGTGGAATTTTCAAAAGTAAACTCAAGGCTAGGGAGCCCAGTCTACCTTGCTATTTAATCCATTGTAGAATTGGGAAGAGATTAATTCCAATGAGCATTTGTTCGAAAGTGAATTCAACTGACCAGGCCGGAATTTGAACTCGACGATTTCATTTTCCGCGCCGAACAAAGTGAGTAAAAAGTACAAACCGATGGAAACAAGAACCTAAGCCGACTCCAATATTCTGTTTCTTATAATTATATATACGAATATATATATATACATACATACATACATACATACATACACACACACACACACACACAGACAGTTTATATGAGAGTAGTTAATCGGTAAATTAAGAAAAGCAGTTAATCAATAAATCCTTTAATATTTGATATATCTGATACATGGCTAAAACAATAGAGTACCTATGGGGATCGAACTCACAACATTGTGTTAGATAAGCTTGCTAGCCATCTGTCTAAGTAAAGCACCCATAGTGCCTTATAGTAATTTTCCAAGCGTAGCTCAGATGTGGCTCAAGGCAGAAAGAATGGGGTACCCAATGAGGATCGAACTCACTACTCAGTCGCAATTATTCTAGCGAAACCATTACACCACATCGAGGTGCCCATAGTGACTTATATATAGCGTCCTATGCATATAGATAAACCGTATGTATACATAGAGTAGTGATTATCAGTTACTTTCACTTTCACTTTCACTTTGGAAAAACATGAATCTATCTTAAACTTTGGATTAAATAGCAAACCAGACTGGGCTCTCTCGCCTTGGTTAGCAACCAGCCTAGGAGAAATCCAAGGCTGTATTCAAAACCTGTTCGGTGTGGGTTTAGCAAAAGCACGCCATTAATCCTACTTGCTACTGAAAGTAACTTAGTGAAGATGTCGCTCTTTATTCCACAGGGAGTTTGCAGTTTCTAACGATGATGCAAAAATTCAGCCTGTATATGCGTATGTCTGTATCAGTAAATGTATACACCAGTAAAGTTAGTTTCGTCTGGCACAATGCCATATGCGTGAGACACTCAGCGAACATAAAACTCATTACAGTAATAATCGTCTGCAAAAGTACTTATTAACCATTACCCCATGGCGAGGTGACCTAAATATCTATATCAATATATAGAGCGTGTTATTGTAAACATTCGCTTTTATTACATGTAAAAAAAAAGACATGCACAATTCCTTTCACTTAAGTAATAGCCATTTATGCAGACATGCAGATAAAATAGCTTCATAAAAAACTGCATCTTTATCCACGAATTAACAATCTTTATTGTGTCAAATTCCTTCCGTATTTACAACAGTGTTATTTGCAATTTTTATTCTATTCCTTCGAAGATCGCTACAAAGTTGCATACAAATATTATGTTTGCCAATTTTGAATGAAGATAAAACTGTCACATTTTTCATCTATATTCATTCCAATAATGCATACATAAATACTAAATATTGTTAGTACATATTACTATTACTAGCTAGTGTTTATATTTTTAATAGGTGTTAATCCACCCCACAGAACATTCAATAAAAGCTTCGAAATAATTTCATAGAATTAAATGCATTTTATAAGTTCTCATGTTTGAAAAAATAATCTAATTTTATCTTCGCCCAAGATTTACAGAAACTTGTTTGTAAAATGCGTGCCGATACAGAAAAAAAAACATTTCTTTCGTTATATAGAAATGAAGTTGCGTGTGTGAGTGTGTTTGCTTCAACGTACGTGCAAGGAAAGAATGATTTAAGAGTCCTCTGCATATAAATGGCTATAAATGTGGGAGGATGAAGAAGCTCCAATAAAGCCCCAATGCAAAGGTAACTCTCGAAACAAAAACGGTGAATGACAGTTTAAGAAAGGTGTTGATTCACAAGATGCCGAATGCTTTCAAAGATCCGTTGTCTACAAAAATGGATGAATGATAAGTGCCAAACGATGAGCAGACTAAATTGTTAATAGAAAGGCGCGCTTAATATCAACGACAAATGTTGAGCCAATGAACGAGAGATGCAAACAAAGCAACAGTTTTTAGCAGTCTTTGCGCTACTGAGCTGCCTATACACAAACGAGAAGAGACAAACACATGCAATATATCGTCTTTTGTTTTCTTTCAAATTATTATTTGAATAAAATATTTTGTACTACTTCTGTCACGTAAGAGTTGTTACATTTGCATGCATATTACCGACACGAAATGGAGCAACTATTATGGGACAGAGAAAGCATTGAATTAAAAGATAAAAAGCATTTGCGTGTAATTTGTACTGAAGAAAATTAATATAAATCATATCAAACGTGATTGCAAGCAGAATTTTTCAGTGTTTATATACCATTGAAGCTTAGATAATTTATGTTTCTTTTATTAGTATTAGCATTTTATTAGTACAGCATTTGTATTATATGTAATTTCCTTAACTCTGCAACTATTATTTGCATTTATTTATTATTTATTCTATCTATATAGAATTACTAACAATGTTAAAACAACGCGTATTTTTGATGTCATCTATAGATCTCTACATCTATTGTTGTTATCATCGATATGGTCATCATTTAATATCATCACTTTGCCAAATATGTTGCCTTATAATTAGTATCAAGTTTAAGTTATTTTATTAGTTGTCATCATAATAATCATTGCATATGTTTTGTCTTACAGTAGATATTATTAAAATCATTATTCTAATTATCATTAGTCTTATTATCTTTATTATCGCTTTTGTTATTGTTAGTATATATTACTATCACTATCATTTTCTTAATAACCAAACTGTTTTACTAGTAGTTTTATTAATGCTTTCCTCGTATTACTAACAGTATTATTATTTTTATTACTAGTAGCTTGTTCATTATAATTATTTGCATTACTAAGAGCTAGGTTATATCCTAGATGGTTGGTTGAATTTAACATTGATTTCCATGTATGGATATCGGCTATTCCATCCCGTGTGCACACCCATGTTTTGCTTGCTGCCGTTCATAACAGAGCATTTCACTGCAGTCGAAGTCATTATAATTTATCAACCTTCTTACTCTCCTTTCAAGCCTTGCTCTCCACTCATAATATTTTCCCCGGGAAAAGCAGCCACTGCAGCAACAATAACAGCAGCGTCGTTCATCTCACCTCCGCCTCTTTTTACTCCTCCCGCCACTCGTGCTGGGAATTCCTGTAGTTCCATATATGGTATTATGGCGTACTGAAAGCTGCGGATTCCCGCGCGCGCGCTCCTTGCATGGGCATGTTGTACGAGCCGGGAAGTGAAAGGGAGAGGACGATTTCTGAACGGTACACCCGGATTTTTGTGAATTGGTTGGGCCACGTGCGCGCGCCGGAACGGGTGTGTACACAAGATAGGTACATAATTGTCAATGAAGGGAGAGTTACATTGAGCAACACCTACGCTGTGTACACGGTGTACTCCGAAGCGTGCATGCATTCATAAGAGCTCACAAAAATTAAATAAACAAATAAAAAAATATCAACGAGGAAGTTGGGGAGAAAGTTACACCTTGGCAACCCCTCCTCTTTTAAATTCAAGCGAAATGACCATTTTTGTACATCAGACACATCAAAGTTTACGAGGGATCTGAATGTAACTATAATACCCATCCTATACACTAAAGAGCCAACGCAAATTATGAATGTATATCCCTTGCATGAATGTAACAACCCACGTGTATAAAGTTTTATAGCATAGTATATATATATATATATATATATATATATATATATATATAGTCATCCACAGAGAGACTGTTTCGCTGATTTACAACTCATCAGTGCGTATATATATATATATATATATATATATATATATATATATATATATATATATATATATATATATATATATAACATATATATACATCGTCAGATAAGATGTATTTCCATATATATATATATATTTCCATATATATATATGTGTGTATGCGTATCTTTTTGTAATTGTAAATCTATATGAAAGTGCTCATGCTAATGTATACGTT